TCTTTTAAGGCGAAAGGGTATTTTGGTAATTTCACAGTGCAATTAAATTTGCTGAGGTCGTAGCCTTTATTTAATTTGTTAGAAAAATTAAATAAGTGAAATTACGTTTAAATGTGTGTTCGCACATATTTAATTAAATCATCATTATTGTTAAATGTTAATTAAATATTAATTGATTTTAATTGAAATAATGATGTATTAAATTAAAATATCTAATTGGGAGTGTTTGGCAAATTTGGGCGTGTTTGGGTTGGAGCCCAAGCCCATTCCATATGGGAATAGGGCAACTAAAATAAGACTATAAAAGAAAAGGTTTTAGTTGGAAAAAGTGTGTGTGTTATTTTATTCATTCTTCAATTTTGAAAAGAGAAAAAACCTCCAGCCAAAAACTCTCCCACGCCACTTTTACTGTTCCATTGAAAAAACAAACACTTTTGTTTTCTTCTTGATTTCTTAAGGCCAAGGAGGATGTAGCAAATCCCTCCTTGGTTCTTGTTGATTGTCTTCGTGTGGACCTCTACGGTTCGGTCCTACACTTGGATCGGTAGCAAACACGTTCAGAGACAATATTGCTGGAGCCTCCAAACGTGGGTATGAATCTAAACTTTAGATTTATTTTATTTTTCTGCAGATTCTTGATATTATACATAAACTGTAAAATTTGTGCCTTGATTTTGGGCTTTAAGGAACGATCTACGGTTGTATAAAATTTTTTGTTTTCCGCTGAGCAACCGGGTCGTTTCCTAACAGCCTTAGCCTCAGTTAGTTTAGTAGTTAGACCAACAATCTTTTCGGACAAGGCTTTCTTTCGCTTCAACAAGGTTGCATTTTCAATTCCAAGAGATTGCAACTTTTTCACTGCCTTTAGCCAATGGTCATACATCTTATCATATGCTTCTTGTTGTTCAGCGTAGATATCAATAGTGTCATCCAAAGACTCACTCTTACTATCTTCTTGATTCACGGTGAGGGCAAGAACATTTTCATCATCATCGAACTCATCTTCCTGACTTAGTCACTCTCACTCAAAGCAGCAATCATAGCCTTACCTTTCTTCCTTTTTAGTGTGTTAGTACATTTAGATTGTATATGCCCGAACCCCTCACACTCAAAGCACTTGATCCCTTATTTTTTCATTACCTTATCTTTCAAAAATCTTTTTGAAAAGGTATCAAGGATTTGTTGGTCATAAAACTTTTTCACAAAGGGTTTTCTGCCATTTCCACTCTCAAAAGGCTCTTTCATGTTTTTCTTTAAAAACTTTGCAAAATTCTTTATAAGTAAAGCACAATTTTCATCATCCAAGCCACTTGAATTCACATTTTCATAAAGTTTAGAATATACCTCATGTTTGAGAGCCAAATCTTTGCTCGGTTTTTGTTTATCCCAACGTTTCAAGTTCAGTTCATAGGTTTGGAGAGAGCCAATGAGTTCATCAATGTCCATGACATCCACATCACAGCATTCTTCAATGGTGGTCACTTTTGACATAAACCTCCGGGGAAGTGAGCAAAGAACTTTCCTGACAAGTTCAATATTAGAATATGTTTTTTCCCAAAACAAAACATTCATTAGAAATGTCACACACCCTACCATAAAGATCAGTGATAGTCTCATCATCATGCATGTTCAAATTTTCAAAATCAATCAGAAGTCTTCTAAGTCTATTTCGTTTAACAGCACTAGTGCCCTCATTTTTTACTTGTAGCCTATCCCAAGCATCCTTGGAACGTTCACAGTTGGCTATGAATTTCATTTGATTAACATTAACAACATTAAACAAAGCATGAATGACTTTAGAGTTATAGTTTAAAATAATTAACTCATCAACAGTCCAACTAGCAACCAATTTTGGTCTAGAAACCTCATTTTCAACAATAACCAAAGCTGTCCAACCATCCACAACCATGGACCAGACTCTTTCATCAATAGACTTAAGAAAAGCACGCATCCTAGATCTCCATGTATAGTAGTTAGGACCTTCTAACAAAGATGGTCTATGAGCATACCCTCTTTCAGTAAAGAAACTCATGACGAAAAACAACCAGACCGATGCTAACACAGCAAAGGGAAGTGCATACACAGACACATAGCAAATCTAAAACAAAACGCAGAAACATATCATATTTCATCCAAACACAAGACCAATCAGATGCACACAAAAACAAGCAAAATGGGTAAAGATCAATAGAAGCAACATATTAGAACAAGCTTTGATACCACTTGTTAGAGTTGGTTAACTCTATATAGCATTGGTACCCATTTTTCAAAGTGCAGCTGAAGTTTTTACCAAGTTGATTAATGATTATCAAGTTAAGTATGAGTCAACATCCATAAACAATAAATGTAAAACACACTAGCATATACATGGTTCGACTAAAACCACTCTTAGCCTACATCCATGGGACATCGTCCAGATCAAAGCAAATTCACTAAACAACAACATTACAAGATATAGTTCAAAGTTGATTTTAGCTACAATAAAGAGAACTCCCTGTTCTAGTTACACTAAACACCACCCTCTAAATCTCTAGCGTCTTGGTGCTCCGAGGACCTCTTCACGTCGGGAACAAACCTGAAGAACTCTTGAGCTCCATCCAAGCTTCACACGCCAAAGCCACCCTCCAGCATCAACAATGGAACCAAGTTCTAGGCACCATTCAACAACTATATGAGATGATGAAAGTTTGGCACAATAACATAACGTGAACCTTTGAGGAATAAAACTCTCTGAAAATTTTAAGGACAAGCAAATAAAATATCAAAAGTTAGGTTTACAAATGAGCAAGAATAAAGATGATATAGCCCAATTTCGTGCTCCCCAATTCTTGCCAAGTCAGCAAATAAGGGCTGACATTTTTTGGTCCAAAAATGGAAAAGATTCCATCTATCTTTTGGAACTACAACCAAAAGGGGAAAATGGTTGATTTTCCCTAGACCACTAAAGGATATTGGGACACCTATAAGTGGTCCAAATGACAACACAAAAGATGCAAAGAAAAATATATTAGCTGTTAAGTAAAAAATGCAATATGTGTAAAAGTAAGTCAAATATGCGATGTTAGCACAATAGAAAAGCGAGCGCACACACGAAGCAAATCTTGAAATAAACTGCAACAAGCAAATTTCTGATATAAGTGTGCAAGCACACATCCATTGTGCACAAACATAAAATGAAAAAGCAAAAGGCATAAGCAAAAAGAATTCCAACTTTTTGTTGGACCACAAACATATGTTTTCTCTTTCTTGTGGGACCATAGAAAAGTCTTACAACTTTTTAGGACCACATAAAAGAAATTGTGACACCTGTAAAGTTAGCTCACACAAGAATATCATGAATCAATATAAGCTTGATGGGCAAGACAACAAAAAAACAGAAAAGAAAAATGCCACTTGGCAAAATGAGTGAAACAGCAGATGCTTGCACAAAAAAAAACGATGTATGCACATAGTTACTCAACAATTCATTGTCCACCATAACATTAGTTTGACAAACAAATCGACACTTTTCACATCCAACAGTAATTGACTCAATACACTAGTTACCACCAAACGACTTTGTGACAGTAACGATTTGTGAGTTAATCTTAGCTTTAGATTTTGAGCGAGAAGGTTAAAGCATTAGAGCGATGCCTCTTTTAGGATCCATGGTATGTCTTTGAAGGTGATATTAAAATGAAGAGTGAGCTTAAGCGTTAAATTGGTAAAAAGGATTTCATATAACTTGGGATTTACTTGCATAATAGAAGAATAAAACATCTGTAAGAAATAATGAATAATTGGGCATAAAGCTATTCACAGAGCGCTCAAATGATTAAAAGAAAAGAGTGACTCTCACGATTGCAAAGGATCACCAATAAAATTTTCACACTGTTTGGCAAAACTCTTAATATTATGTTGTTTGATATCCATGCAAAAGAGTTGAGAGATAATGTTCATATCGTCGATTGTAGTATAGGAAAAGTGTCAGACACCTTCTTTTAAGATTCATTTATAATTTTTTATTAATCAATCAAACATTTAAATTTAAAAATGTTAATTTAAATTTTTAAAATTTAATAAATAAATTTATTAGAAACATAATTATAAATTATTACAAAATAATAATGCACCAAAACCACTAACATAGTATTACATAACAAAATTTATGTAGCACAAATTAAAATCTTACATTGGTTTTGCGTATGTTTTATGTCACATTAAGTAGTATAGGGATATCCCAATGTATGGATGTTTGACATGAACACGCATTAAGGTTGTAATTCAGTCTACGTGATGTTGGCAAACATTCCCAAGTCGCTGAGAAGTTGAGCGAACATCATTTCAAAAATATTTAAGAATTCGTAAAGTTACCTTTAACAAAGGTATTCCTCAGCTACCCACAACACACAACAAATAATACACTTAATTCACAGGTGAGATTTTGAAAAAAGTAATATATATATGATATTTTCAATTTAAGAAAATGATGTATTATATGCTTTTTAATATAATTTAGCTTTAATGAAAAAATCTCTTAATCTTGAGAAATAGTTTAATTGTTCTAACTCGGTAACCACTTTTTGTTAAGGATAGAAATTATCAAAATCATAATTCATCATCATAAAAATTATATAAATATATGAAAACATTATTATTAAAATTCATTGTACATCCTCTTTCCTCTTCTTTTTACACATTTTTTCCGAATTTTTCCCTAAAATTTTAAATTAAAAATAATATTATTTTTTACCAATGATTAAAATAAATTCAATTCATCGGGTTAATCTATATTCATTTTTCTTATTTTTCAAGAATAAAATATGCATTTTAAATGAAAAAACTTATTATATTAAACAATTAATTTTATTTTTACAATGCACTGTTTTTTTGTCATACTTCAAACAAATTCAGCCCTCCTGAAAAAAAAAAAAAAAAAAAAAGTTTCTACTTTGCCTCTGGTTAATTTGTTTAATATAAGTGGGCATAATATTAGTGCAGTGTTTCACGTAAAAAAAGTATGGTATCACTAAAACAAATAAAATTTCTATTATATATTATCATCAGTGAAAGCAAACAAACACACTCATAAAATGGCATACAGATTATAATTAGCTTATAGCTGATCGCATTGTGTAGGAAGAAATGATAAGGTTTCTTTCTGAAGATCATGTAGCACCAATATGTTTTGCTGTTGTACATTTCCAAAGATTGACATACCACTGGAACTCCCCATCGCCAAGCAAACCAAACCCGTACTTGAATCACCAACCATATAGTTTTCACTTGGCAAATCTAAATCAGCTCCTTCGAAATGAAATACCAACGTAGGTACCTCTACATTTGTTGAATCTGATGGCAAAGTGAAGCAAAGATCAAGCCCTGTTGATCCTGAATTATCCACTGAAAGTTTTGTTTTAGAAATAAAAGCTTTTTTAACCAAATCAAAAGCACTCTCTTCTAAATACGTTATCGTTGTGCCAGAATCAATTATTAAGCCACCATTGCCATCATCTTGGAGTGCAAAAGTAGATTTCTTGATTGGTAAGCGAGTGCCACCGACGGATATCCCTTCAAGAGAAAGATAATAAAAAGCTGGCTGTAATGAGTTTTTGATTAAAGGGGTTGTTTTGATTGTATTCGATGTGGTATTCACACTTGCTAAGGATCCCATCAAAAGTGTACTGGTTTTTTGGTCATCAATTGAAATAAGGCAGTAAGAGAATTTTGCTTCTTTTAATTGTGAAACTAGAGATAAAGGTCCACGACCAAGCCCCACCAGACCTGCACCTTGGCTGAACCCACTTCCTTCATTGTCTTCTCCACAACCGAACCTAATTTTGGGAACTGAAACCTTACCGAACGTGAATGTTTCAGCGCCCATAATTCCTTGCGTAGAAGAATAATCACCATATGTGTAGAGATATTCACATCCATCGTTGCATGTTGATTGAGGTAAAGCTTCACAGAGGGAGTCAGAGCAAGAAATCTTAGCGAAAGAAGATGACTTTTTGGGATCAAAAATTGGAGTAGGCTGATCATAACACTCAGTACAAGGCTTGCATTGAGTCCATATCAAATCACTTCCAGTATCCAAGATTGCATGGTAACTTTGTGGGGGAGTACCGATTGATAACTCCATAAGAAACTCACCGTTGCCGGCATGAATAGGGGCTTCAATTTGAGAATCTGAAGCCGCCAAAGCCATACCGCTGAGTCTTTGCAACCGGTATTGCCCACGCTTCATTCCACGTTTGATACGCTGAAACATGGTTAAGTTCTTGCCGGAATCTACATGTTTAAGGCTGACCCTGAAACCAGTAGTTTTCACATTCTGGTGTTCTTTTAAAGCTCGCCTAGAAAAAGATAATGAAGGAGAAACACATAATGCGCCTATTGCTAATGCTAATAATATGACTTTTGATAAAAAAACCATTGAAACCATTAATGCTTTTGAGAAAGAGAGAATAGTGATAGGAAGAAAACAATTAGAATGATGAGCACCAAATATATATATAGGTGTACAAATACGAAATAGTCTTACACGTTAAAGAATGTAACGCCGGCCAGTGCCAAGTGTAGGAAAATATTAAAATAATAAGCAGAAATAATAGGTGAAGTAGATCAAGAGAAGTTTGCTTATGGATAGTAGGAACTATGACTTGCCAACCTGAGAGGAAGTTGAGATATCAAACAAGAATGGTGAAAAAGTATTGGCCGGGTCAGGCGTGGTTGTTGAGGAAAATGAGATCCAAAACAACATAACATTTTTGTGAAGGAAGAATTATATTCTCGCACGCTTCGCTTTCATCTCCAGATTTTAATTTAAAATAAATAAATAAATAAATGAATATCACTCTTTGATTATGACTTACGAAACTAAAATTGCTAAAATAAAATGATTAAAGGAGTCGGGAGATGGAAGATTCAAAATATTAAGAGTGTCCACAAAGAAAAAGCTCATGTCACAATTAAAGGTACTCAAAATTATGATGAACCTATATATTATATGGAAGAGAATGGTAGGTTGGTAGGCTAACTGTTTTACAGATTAATGACGTCCTCCTGGTAAAATAGAGTTGGTTTGATGTTCTTATTATAGTTAGGTACGAGCCTTTGACAATTTTTCCATTTTTTTAATTGGTTAGATTAACTCCATCCCCTTGTGTTGTCATAGTTATACTTTTACTCAAAATGTGGACCAGGTTCTAGAGACTAATGGCCAACTTATTAAAATGTAAAATTAAAGCTTTTAATAAATTTCCATATATATAATTATAATGAAATACAAAAATTTGTGCTACAATAATCTAATGCATATTGCTTCAATTGAGACATAATTGTTGTTTTCCTTTCTTCCTTGACCACAAGTTCTTAGTTGTCGGTGAGTCAATCCGCTACCTTCTTGTAAACTAATCTATCTATTAATATATAAACAAAGTAATTTTTACACTAATTTTTCAACCATAAATAAATTATAATCCAATGATTTTTTTTTTAATTAAAAAACCACCAATTTTTTTTTTCTTTTTTTTTTTTTAATGGATCGTTCCAGCAGCTAATGATGTGTACTAAGATTATAATGGATTGTTCTAGCAACTAATGATGTGAACTAAGTATAAGCACGATCCGTGAGAGACTTAAAAAGTTCTCTTAGCCTCAAATCATAATTCCTTGCATGAGAACAGGCATGTTAATAAAACGAGAAATATGTTCGCATTGATTACCGTTTTTTCCATAGAAAAGTTGACATTATTAGAAAAAAACCTCATCTTTGACAAAATAATTTGATAGATTTTCTTGACCGTTGATAAGAGCTTGAAAATACATATTTTGTTAACGATTTAATTGGATTATTTGTGGAATGTGTTTTTATTGTGAAATTTGAGTTAATTACTTCATAAATATCTTTTATAGGATTATGGGATGTATTTTGAGTATTTTTAAATTATAAATGATATTTTAGTGAAGAAGAATGATGTTGATGAAATTTGTGATGAGTATGAACAAATGGTGTCAGAATCGGAATTGAAATGAGGAAGTTATGACGTGTTGAAGATGAGACTTAAAACCTGAAAATTCTTCAAGATGAGCAAGCTTCAATGTTTTGATCATAACTTGAGCTATAGAAATTGGAATTAGATGATTCTTATGATGTTGGAAAGCTTATTCAGAGAGCTACAAAATTTGTATTGATGACTTCACCAAATTCTGAAGATTCCAGATTCCTGAGGCAGAAAAAATCATCACTACAATGATGGATTGCGGGCCTGTTTGGGTTATTTTATTTTCCTAGTCCAAATCTGAATGGTTTAAGACATCTAATTCTTTCCTGAATAATCTCCAAACCTTAACACTATAAATAAGGGTCTTTAATTAGTTTTTAGGGAGATTAGAGAAGGAGAAAGAGCGGTTACTATTTTGGAGATCAGAATTCTTGCAGTTTTCGTTTACCAATTAGAGAAGTTTTTTCTATTTTTCTTTCTTGAACTCATGTTTGTTAATACAGTGGTTGTTTTCATTACTACAATTATGAACTAAATTTCTTTTCTGAGGCTAAAGATGTAGCCCAATTTATGAATGTGTATTGACTTTATTGTTGTTAAATTTTAATTGAGCATTAATTGTAAGTTTTGTTGTTGTGTGTAATGCTTTCAATTCTTATGGATCTGAGAGTTGAATGATATAATGGGTTGGGTTGAGATTGAGAGATGAAACCTGATTAGTCTAAGGTAATAAAATCATAGATTGAGTGAACGCTAGAGATAGGTTACCACAATCTGTGAGGTTCTAGTAAATTCCATAGAATTTAATGATCTCTTAGCTTCTAAATGCACTTTAGAGATATTTTGGATTGTTGCTTAAGGGTTAATTCGCTAATTGTTTGAGAGAAACTTAGTGAAATATTAGGGAGTTTGGCTTTTAGAATAAGCTTAATTAGGTTAGCAATAATTGTCAATGCATAGGATTAAATTGGTGTAAAATTTGTGCTATAGGTTTAGTCCTATTAATCTTTTTTATCAAAGTATTAATAAAATTCTGCTTTTATTTTGTTTTTAGTTTGTTTTGTTTTTCATTAAATCATTCTTAAAATTTTGTTTTATCAAATAGTAATAAAATAGATTAGTTTGGTACTTGATAAGTAGTTCTCTTGGGATTCGACACTCGTTTACTCGAGCTTTACTACTTGCGTGATTTCGTGCATTTGCAAATAGCCTGTCAAGTTCTCGACGCCGTTGTTGGGGAACTAATTTTTTTTACCAATATCAATACGAAATATTTAGTTGCTAATTCGATTTGTTTTATTTTTGCTCATAGGTTAATTAATTTTTATTTTATTTTGTTGAGTTTTTTTTCTTTTATTTAGATCCTGGAGAGCTTACGTTCTAAAGGTGGTGGTGATCTTAATCCCTTCGATTCTGAGATCGAGAGAACGGCTAAACAATTGAGGAAAGAAAAGGGGCAAGCTAACTTAGAAAAATCAATGGATAACAAGAGAATTATAAATCACAATATGGAAAATCAAGAGAATGAGAATGACGAAATCCCAAGAGGCAATGCAACTGGTGGAGCGGAAGTTGATGAGAATGCAAAATGTCATTTTAATCCCCGCCTTAATGTCTAGTCTTTTACACTTATTTGTTGCCTAAATGTACTCATTATTATTCTATTTTGATTTAGGATGCAAATGGAGGCGTTAAATGCAAAACGGAACTAATTAGGTGAATTCGGACAGTTTTGACATTGCTTTGTAATCTAGGCATAACTCTCCCATCCGAGCTTCGATTGAAATGATTCAAAATGATGTGGAACCCTAAGAAAGAGATCTACAACTTTTATGTTTTGAGTTTGGAGAGATACTCGCTGCATCAAGGTTGTTCTAGGGCTTGAAATTGACGTACCTGCACTGCTAACGTTCTGGAACATTTTGCCCAATCATGAAAGTCAATTAGGCAGTTTATTATTGGAAGTTTTGAAGACCTATTACACGCAAATTACAGGTGGCCACACCACTTTCCTATTTTATTTTAGGACTTTATTTTATTTTCAATTAATAAGAATCAGATTAGGATAAATGTTATTTTAGGATATTAGAATATTTTGAGGAGATTTAGTAGAATTCAAATACTTGAATTGGATATCTTTAAGAGGAGAGAGAGATCAGATTGGGAAAATCACACATGCCTCTCTTTTCTCTCTTCTGGAATTTTCTCTTTCGAGTTTTGATTATGGCCATGAGCGGCTAAACTTTTAGAAAATTCCTAAAATCTAATTGGATCACTTGTTTAGTTCTTAAGGCTGCCACTAGATTAAACCTTTAGCGCTTGTCTAGGGTTGTTTAGTAGTAAGATTAATTGGATCACTTGTTTCCTAATTAACTACAACTAAGGAGAGATAGGAAAATAGTTCTAATGGTGAATACTCAAATTATGAATTGATATATACTTGCATCAATGATCAATTGTAAGATTCTGATGGTGGATGTTGACTTAGACCAAGGTTTGTTATTTTGATTGATTTTGATAATTTAATTTGAATTGCTTTTCCTGAAATTTTTTCTGTTTTTACTAAACCCCCCCAGCCTTGTTCACGTAACATTAAACTCGGCTAGACACTCTCCGTGGGACAATCCTTACTCACACTACTACATGTGTTTTTAGGTTTTAATCTTGGTTGCCTACGATAGCACACCAGTAGTGGTTCAAAGAGCATTGAAGGACTACTCTCTTACTATTGATGGGTGCTATTCTAGCATCAGGAGACCACCAGTTCAAGCGAATAATTTTGAGATCAAGCCAGCAGTTATTCAAATGATTCAACAGTTGGTCCAATTCGCAGGGTTGCCTAATGATGATTCCAACTTGCATATCGCCAATTTCCTAGAGTTATGCGACACATTCAGGCATAATGAAGTATATGATGATGCAATTAGGCTAAGGCTTGGTTGATTTCTCTACCATCTTGGAGCATCACAACATGGAATGAGTTAGCTCAAGCGTTCCTTACTAAATATTTTCCACCTGCCAAGATGAGAAGTGAGATTACCAATTTCTACCAACAAGACATGGAGTCATTGTTTGAAGCATGGAAAAGGTATGAAGATCTCTTACAGAGGTGCCCTCACCATGGTGTGCCAATCTAGTCGTAAGTGCAAACGTTCTATCAAGGGTTGCTGCCAAACATGCAAGCCATGATAGATGCTACCAGTGGAGGAGCCTTGAATAATAAAACATCGGAGGAAGCTTACAATTTGATTGGGGTGATGGAAAACAATAACTACATGAGGACTTTGGAGAGAAATTCAACAAGGAAAGCAGCGGGAGTGCACGAAGTTTATGGCTACACCGCATTGGCTGCTCAACTTTCAGCATCCAAAAGAAATTATGAGTTGCTATAAAGGTAAATGCTATTGAATCTTCTTCTCTAACTTGTGAATTTTTTGCAGGGAATCATATGTCAAGAGATTGTCGAGTAGGGAATCCATTTGCTCCACCTCAACAAGTAAATTATGTCAACAATTTTCAAAGAGAGCAAGGGAATCCATACTCTAATACATACATCCAGCATGGTGCAATCATCCAAACTTCTCATGGAGCAACCACAATGAACATAAACAACCTACAGGTTTTCAAGCTCAAGAGCCAAAATCTAACTTGGAGAATGTGTTTACCAAGTTCATTGAAAAAACAAGCAAGATGTTTGAAAAGAATGAAATCTTTGCCCAAAATCAGTTAGCCTCTATCGAAAATCTTGAGACTCAAATGGGGCAAATCCATAACATGATAGCAAGAAGAGTTCAAGGAGTTTTACCGAGCGATACAAAGAAGAGCCCTAAGGAACAAGTTCATGCAATCACCTTGAGAAGTGTAAAAACCTTAGAGCATTCAGAGGATGAAATATGGATAGAAGAAAGAGAGAAAAACTTGGAAGAAGAAAAGATTGACGATACCACGACGATCGTGAAAATTTTGAAGAAAAAGGCTTTGTTGATGACTATCGCCATGGCGAGGAAAATGGTCGATACAGCGACTGTGAAATTGTTCCTAAAACTTTAGAAGATGATATTTATCTCCGCGGCAAGGAAATTAGTCACCGTAACAACAATGAATCTGACCAGAATGCATCTTCAAGTCATCAAGCCAAAGAGAAAAAGGAACCCACCCTTTTGTACCCACACCGATTGAAGAATTAGAAGCTTGACAAGCAATTAGGTAAGTTTATCGACCTTCTTCGAAGCTTGCATAATATTCCTTTTGTTGATATGTTAGAGCAGATACCCAAATATGCCAAGTTTTTGACAGAGGTCCTCACGCATAAAAGAAGATTTGAGGAACATGAGAAAGTAATGCTAACAGAGGAGTGTAGTGCACCGATTCAAAAGAAACTACCATTGAAACTATGAGATCCAGGGAGTTTTACTATCCCTTGTATTATTGGTAGTTGTTATTTTGACAAAGTTTTGTATGATTTAGGAGCAAGAATTAATTTAATGCCATTTTCTATCTACAGGAAACTTGGATTGGGAGAAGTGAAGCCAACCACCGTGTCTCTCCAATTGGCAGATCGATCAATAACATATCCTAGGGGGTGGTAGAAGATGTCTTAATTAAGGTAGATAAACTAATTTTCCCGGTAGATTTCATGGTGTTAGACATGGAAGAAGATAGGGAAATACCTTTAATCCTAGGAAGACCTTTTCTAGCAACGGGCAGAGCACTGATAGATCAAGGGAAACTAATCTTAAGGGTAAAAGATGAGCAAGTAAAATTTAATGTTTTTGATGCCACGAAGCATCCATCTGACTTAGACATATGCTTTGAGATTAGTGTCCTTGATAACATAGTGGATAAAAAATTAGAAGAAAACTACCCTAGTTCACCCTTAGGGTGTGATTGGTTAGGGCTTTGGGAAGATAACTCTGGTAATCTATCTTTAATTCTAGACATTCTGTTGTTCGGTTGTCAAGCTTAAAGACATTGCTTAGTTTGCTAGGGACTAGCAAGAAGCTGGTTGGGGGTTGTGATTAAAGTTTGAAAATACATAATTTTGTTAGTGATTCAATTGGATTATTTGTGGGAAAATGTGTTTTTATTGTGAAATTTGGGTTAATTACTTCATAAATACATTTTATGGGATCACAGAGTGTATTTTGAATATTTTCAAGTTATAAATGATATTTTAATGAAGAAGAATGATGTTGATGAAATTTGTAATGAGTAGGAACAAATAGTGCAAGAATCGGAATTGAAATGAGGAAGTTATGACGGGTTGAAAATGAGACTTAAAACTTGGAAATTCTTCAAGATGAGCAAGCTTCAATGTTTTGATCATAACTTGAGCTGTAGAAATCAGAATTCGATGATTCTTATGGCATTGGAAAGCTTATTCAGAGTACAAAGTTCATACTGATGACTTTTAAAATTCTGCAGATTCCAGACTTGTGAGACAGAAAAAACGATTGCCACAACAACTGTTTTTGTCGCTGCAGTGATGGATTGTGGGCCTGTTTGGGTTATTTTATTTTCCTAGTCTAAATCTGAATGTTTTAAGGCATTTAATTCTTTCCTGATTAACCTCCAAATGCTAGCACTATAAATAAGGATCTTTAATTAGTTTTTAGCGAGATTAGAGAAGGAGAAAAAGTGGCTACTATTTTGGAGATCAGAATTCTTGTAGTTTTCGTTCACCAATTAGGGAAGTTTTTCCATTTTTCTTTCTTGAACTCATGTTTGTTAATACAATGATTGTTTTTATTACTACAATTATGAACTAAATTTCTTTTCTAGGGCTAAAGATGTAGCCCAATTTATGAATGTGTATTGACTTTATTGTTGTTAATTTTAATTGAGCAGTAATTTTAAGTTTTGTTGTTATGTGTAGTGCTTTCAATTCTTATGGATCCAATAGTAGAATGATATAATGGGTTGGGTTGAGATTGAGAGAAAAAACTTGATTAGTCTAAGGTAATAAAATCATAGATTGAGCAAATGCTATAGATAGATTACCACGATTTGTGAGGTTTTGGTAAATTCCATAGAATTTAATGATCTCTTAGCTTCTAAATGCACTTTAGAGATATTTTGGGTTGTTCGAGAGAAAGCTAGTGAAATATTAGGGAGTTTGTAACGCCCCACTTGAGGTACGTAGCTAACGTTTCTTCTTTTGCTCTTATTTGAGTTGGTTTATTAGTATTATTGTTTGGTTGACCTTTGATTGAGTGGTATGTTGGATACTTGCCCTGAAATTGGTTGAAATAGAAGAAGTTCATTATTCCATGCTTTGCCGGGGTGAAGAAGAATCTTCGCCACGGCGAAGAGGTGTTGAAGCCACGAGAAGTTGCTGGACAGTTTCGCCGCAGCGACATGCGAACCAAAATGTTTGTTAAGTTTTAGATATTTTCTTCCCTAAAGGCAATTTGACCATTCTACCCCTAATTAGCAGGAAAAGTGGGGAGTAAAATGTCAGGAATTTTCATGNAAAGCCAATGTAGTAGCCGATGCCTTGAGTAGAAAAGCCTATTTATTCCGGCTTACCAAGCAGAAAGAGTTAATAGAAGAATTGTCTAAGGAACAGATTGAAGTGGTTCTGGGAAGAGTTTCCAGTCTAGAGTTACAGTTTACTTTACTGGAGGAAATCAGAGAAAAGCAAGTGGCCGATGAGTGGTGTCAAAAAGCAGTTCAGCAAGTGCTTAAGGGCAAGTCATCCAAGTTCTTTGTGAGAGATGGCATCCTCTATTTTAGGAATCGATTGTGCATTCCACCGAATAAGGAGTTGAAACAAAAAATCCTTATGGAGGCTCATGACACACCATACATCGCTCATCCGGGAGCAACCAAGATGTATCAAGATGTAAAGAAAGGCTATTGGTGGTCGGGTATGAAGAAAGACATAGCAGAGTTTGTAGCTAAATGTCTAACTTGTTAGCAAGTGAAAGCGGAACACCAACGGCCGTCAGGGTTGCTTCAACCATTGAGTATTCCAAAGTGAAAATGGGAGAACATTTCAATGGATTTTATCACGGGTCTCCCCCGAGTACAGAAAGGGTGTAACGCTATATGGGTGATTGTGGATAGATTAACCAAATCAGCCCATTTCCTTCCTGTAAAGGAGAGCACCAATGCAGATCAATTGGCTCAGATTTACCTCAAGGAGATAGTCAGATTGCATGGTGTGCCCAAGACTATAGTGTCAAATAGAGATTCCAGATTTGTGTGCCCAAGACTATAGTGTCAGATAGAGATTCCAGATTTGTTTCAGCCTTCTGGACGAGTTTACAGAGAAGTTTGGGTACTCGTTTAGCTTTCAGTACTGCCTATCATCCTCAGACGGATGGCCAAACCAAGAGAACGAACCAGGTGCTCGAGGATATGTTGAGAGCCTGTTGCATGGATCATAGAGTATCCTGGCATGAGATGTTACCCTTAGTGGAATTTGCCCACAATAATAGTTATCAGTCTACAATTAGAATGGTGCCTTACGAGGCTTATATGGTAGACGGTGTAGGTCTTTGCTTTATTGGGATGAAGTAGGCGAAAAAGATGAGTTGAGTACCGCTCTTGGGCCAGAGATGACTCAGAAACGGATAGAAGATGTGAAGTTAATCAGAAATAGAATGAAACGAGCCCAAGATCGACAGAGGAGTTATGCCGACTTGAAGAGGAAAGAGGTGGAGTTCCAAGTGGGTGACAAACTGTTTTTGAAAGTTTCCCCTTACAAGCGAGTAATGTGCTTCGGAAGCAAAGGGAAGTTAGCACTGAGATATGTAGGTCCATTTGAGGTCTTGCAACGAGTGGGAAAGGTGGCCTACAGATTGGCACTACCACCTAGCATGGACAGGGTGCATGATGTCTTCCATGTCTCGATGCTACGGAAATATGTAAGTGATCCCCTCCACATCCTGAGTGTAGAGGACGTTGAAGTAACAGAGAATCTAGTATATGAAGAACGTCCAGTTCAGATTCTAGATCGAAGGGTTAAAGAGCTTCAGAACAAGAGTGTTCCGTTAGTGAAGACCCTTTGGAGGAATCACAAAGTGGAAGAGGCCACTTGGGAAGTAGAGCGGGACATGTAGAATCGCTTTCCAGAGTTATTTGTATGAATTTCGGGGACGAAATTCTTTTAAGGGGGGAAGA